TCGTTTCGGCCGATGCGCGCGGCCGGCTGGGCGACTCGCGGTCCTACGAGATGCTCAACAGCACGGGACTCCCCTCGTTCAAGTCGCCAGAGCCCATGGTTCGATCGCCGAGTCCTGCGCGCATGACGGGGACGAAGAGTCCCGACAGCGGCCACTACGGGCGAGACGCCCAGTACGTGCGGCCGTCCATGAGCTTCTCCAGCCCCCGGCCGCCCAGCGCATCACAAGGGCGAGACTGGGATCACAAGGCAACATTTGCCCCGGCCGTCTATCGGGAATATGATGGCTAGGCCGGTGTCTTTTTTTTTTTTATCTGTGGTTCTAATGTAATGCTATGTCATGCTCTTGAGGAGTTACTAAAAAATTCTTTGTATATTGGTTTCATGGACGATGCAATGTATACCCTTGCAATGTTACTTTGATCTGGCCCTCTGTTCTTCCCTCTCTTCGTATCAAAAATAATGTGAGAATACGCTATTGCTTTCACAAGCGTCAGAAACTCTGGTTCAGTCATGTATTCCATAAGTACCAAGGATGTAGAAAAGCAATTCTAGCCTCCTGGTGGTCGAGATGACCAACGAAGCAGGCTGATTACCTCTCCTCTCCTTGTGATAGAAAGCCTAACCAGTGGAAACATTCCATCACCACACCTCAAAACTATGGCCATGAAACCCCCCGTATCTAGAATCACGCTCAAATCTCGAGTCCAACCCCGCAGCAAGTGTCCACTGTCCCCAGCACCAACCCGGAACCTGGCCTGTAACACTAACAGTAACAGCATGAGACGATCTCACACTGAAACTCGGCACTTGCACCAGCAAGATACCCTACCGCGGCCCGAAATCGTCCACCAATAATCTTGTAAGTCGTGACTCGTAACTCGGTTTTAGGAAGTTGCGCGGAGTAGAGCAAGCCTTGCCTTGCGTGTCCCTGATCCTTCTAGAAGAATGTGATATTGGATTCGAGGGGGATTAGACTTTGGCTAGGAGTAGGCAGAGGCGGGCAAGACACTTTGCCGTGCCATCTCGAATTAGATCAGACAGGTACTAGCTAGCTACTGTGTAGAGTTTCAGCAACAGGGCTGGCACGGAGCAAACTGTATGGTTCGAGTCTACTCCGTATGAGTATCACTGCTTGACATTGCCAAAAGCCAATGAATTTCGCAATGCTAATACTCACCCACGAGTGGAATGAAATAGGTGCAGTATTATTCTCCGACTGGAAGTTCAAGTATCAGGCACCACCATCCATGGGTAAGGGTAGCTGATGCAATGCACCGCACCCAAACAGGAAACAAGACCGTTCCTGCATTAACGACAAGGATTCATCTATATCCGTACTCGAGCGGGCTATTAATCAATAGATAATTCACGAGGGTAATTTTCACCCACGTAGCACTGGCATTATTGGCACCCTGTCATGAAGTAGACTCAAGGGTAGTATTGCTGTGGAGCGTGCTTTTTAGACAAATCTCGATTGTCGAATCGAGATTTAGACAGGGTCTTTTCCTACCGTACGGAGTCCTCCGAACGCCGTCAAGAGGGTGAGACAAGGCAGCGAGCGATGGTTACCATAAACTACCTACCTACACACTCCAAAAAAATTTCATTCTGATCACTACCAAGGAATCATGAGCGCAAAGTACAGTTGACCAGGTGGAACCAACCCCCTCATTCTCTCGCTCTTATGGTGGCAATCTCTGCTATGGAGGACACGTGAAAACCCTTCCACCAGGTGTAACCCTTCAACGACATACCTAGGCTGAGTCGCGTCGCGTCATGTCTCGTCGACCTGCCTAATTGTGTATCCGTCAGTTCCATAAGCTCAATATGACCGCGTAGGTGCCAAACTGGCTGATTTACAAGTAGATAACCAGAGTGTCAACCCCGCAAACACGGATGAGCGGATGCCGGAATCGTGAACTATAGAAGGATCACGGCTATGGATATGGATATGGATCACCCTCTCACTACCCCATGGGGTAAATGACTCAAGTTTGGGACCGGAACTGATTGATACTTGATAGTATTCGTGGATCGACACCGGTAGTTGAGGCTATGGGCAGAGTCTAGACTAAAGCGTACGGAGTACCGACCTCGGCAGTGGAGCGGGCATCAGGGAGATCGTAGCTAGGCTTGTGGGCGGTTTCCATGTGATTGTGGCATTTGGGATCTGAGTTTGCAGTAGCCCAGGTTTAACATCTTGTGGTTGTATCCATGCATGGTGGCAGATGTTGGATGGAGTCTCGTCTAGAGTCGTGAGTCCATGGAGTACGGAGTACCTGCAAATCCTTCCAAGTGCACATGTCACTACAACATAGAAGATGATCGGACTTTCACCAGCTTAGTTACTTCTTGCTATGATACACGGTCAAACTAGTTGCATCGTCCGATGCAAAGCACAATTGATTTGATCCTTCGAGGGATTATTTGCGAACGCCAGTCAAGCGATGTTCAAATGGAAAGGGAATAGATTTTGAGCTGCAAATTATTTCCGTGAGCACCAGGGATAATATCACATTTGATGACTGCTAGTCTTCCAGGTATCGACTACCAGGCGTTCACATCGAAATTTTCCTGCAAGATACTGTCAGAATAAAACATAAGAAGTGGCCTAGGGAAAACTCACCTCAGAAAAGTAGGTCGTCACCACTGTCCGATCAGAGAACTTTCTGCCCGCAAGCGCTTTCAAGGCATTGGTCGCCGATTCTACGGTGTCAAATTTGACAAAGATCTTGCCCACTCCGGGAGACTGCCTGCTGCCACCAGAAGGACGTGGCACCTTCAAGTCTACGACTCTGCCATACTTGGAGCACTCGTCGCGTACATCATCGCAAATTTCTGTACCGGAGTTAGTAAAATTCGAGAATGACCCCATCAATGGGATAGCCCACCTTCGTAATCATCAATGTCCAGAAGCTCCTCCGGGGTCACCATGTTCAACAACTGCAAGACACGGCTGCTCTCCAAATCCTGCGACGTAGTCTTGGCGAACATCGACATCGCGTTGACTCCCATGTCAAGCCCGGCGGCCTGCGTCATTCCGATACTGGCACGCACAACCTTGAGATGCCGGTCGCCCAATTCCATACCGTTGAGACCCTCCACAGCGATAGGAGTCGCAGATGGGTCAGCGTACTCGCAGAAAGCGATACCCTTGGCAAGTCAGTAAAAGCGTTACCGCGCTCGGATAGACAACACTCACCCTTGACTCTTCCGTCGAGCTATCTTTCACAAGTACAAACGATTTGAGTTCGCCAAACGACTTGAGCAGCATGGTCACGGGCTCTTCTGGGATATATTGCGGGATATTGGACACACAAATCTTGTTGGGCGAGTCAGGAACCTCATTCAGCAACACACCCTCCTGGTATTCTTGATCCGCACTGCCGTTGGGGACAATGTAGTCCTTGGGTCGGCGCACTTCGAGCCCCTTAGGGGCACCGTTCTCAGTTCCACCGCCAGATTCGTGCTCCTCCATTGTGATGCCATCAAAAGCAAGAGCAACCGTGGTATCGTTGGGTGTCTTGAACTCCAGAAGGGCAAAACTACGGTCTTCGGATATTTGGGCCGAGATACAAGGGTCCACACTGTGAATGACATTGAGACCGTTGAGTTGCAAGTTGAAGAAGGACACGAGATGCTCGCTGGAAACGCCGGGGGGCAGGTTGTACACGAACAGACGCTTGGCCTGACGGGAGTTGGAGGGCTTGAGGGCTGAAGTGTCCGCAGATCCACCACCAGGCTGGTTCATAAAAGCTTGAAGGCGGCTGGGATCCATTGGCTGCTGGCGAGGTGCTCCTGGAAGGGGGAACATGCCTAGAAAAGTTAGCCACAATTTAAAACTAGATAAACACACGTCGCGCAGTCGCAACTTACCCGACAGCTTGGCTTGTTCAGCAGTGACATTCTCATAACCAGGAGGCTTAATGTCCCACTGCGTCAAACGACGTTTCCGAGTCAGAACAGATGGCACATCTGTCAGGTCGGGTGTGGGCTCCCTCTTGCGGGGAGGGCTTGCGCTTCTTTTCCGTTCCTTCCTCTCCCGGTCGCGATCGCGCTCGCGCTCGCGGTCTCCTCCTCGTTCTCTCCGGGGTTTCTCGTCGAACAAGTCTCTATCCCGTTCACGTCGAGATGATCTGTCATCAAAATCTCTGCGTCGGCGGTCGCCACGGTCTCGGTCCCATTCGCGGTCGTCTCTCCGGCTGGAGTAGCGGTCCTCTCGTTCTCTGGCGCGGTAGTCGCGACTCGACGAGTATGAGTCTGCCTCGTATTCACGTCGGGAACCCCTAGAGGTGTAATGGGGGGACCTCGATCGTCTCCTCTCTCCTCTCTCTCCTCTTTCACCGCGTTCGCCTCCGCGTTCGCCTCCACGTTCGCCTCCACGTTCGCCTCCACGTTCACCACCGCGTTCGCGTCTTTCGTCGCGCTGCCAACAGTTAAAGCCTCATTAGCAATTGTTTAAAAGAGCTTTGTCCGAGCGACTGTAGCGACTTACGTAGTGCTCCCTTGAGCGGCCAGGTTCTCCTGTTCTCACGATTAGTTAAAGTTAAATTGTGGCAGATAGAAGAGCTCTCACCTCTCGAAGAAGAGTAAGTATCGCCGTTCATATTGCCCGAGCTATCTTCTTTCCTGCTCTTTTTACTCAACGTGGCGAAAAGCAAGACAACAAAAACTCTTAGAGTTGACCTTCAAGGCGATAGTTAATATCAACAGGGCGATCCTGATGATACAATGAAAATGATCAAAGCGGTCTTGGGCTGAGGAAGGAGTTGCGCTGAGTGTCTGGCTGGAAAACTCGCAGGTCGTGACAATCGGCGAAGAGCAACCGCCGGCGTCTAGAATTGAAGCGGTTAGCGCGCGTGTGTACATTTCCTACCGCCTGCCTCTTAAGAGGGATACTCGGCAGAATTTTGAGATACTTATCTCCTATCAGTGGTGACTGTAGTGCCTCTAACAGGCAAGTTATTGTATTCCCATATCACATTATTCTTTCACATCATGACGGTTGGAGTCTTCTCAGAATGGCACAAGTTTCCCATAAGCTTGAGTGAGCTATGTATTAACACAACCTTGCGCTGTGGCCAGTCATTTCGGTAGGCTATATCTCTTGATCATGGAATGGAAACGTTATTCCTGACTGTTTCGAGCCTCTAGATGGCACAATGTCCCTGAAAGTGACGAATGGCGATGTGTACTTCATGGCCGACTTCTCTCCTTAAAGCAAGACCCGCAATACCTCTATTATAGAACACATCGCTCGCCTATCTCTTCATCAACAAAAGACCCCCTAATAAAACTCTCATCCTCTTCTCCACTACGCGTGGAGTCGAATCGACAAGTAACGCAGAACGGATCATCCGATGACTCCCATGACGACGAGACCCTAAAGCTTCTCAAGCATTACCTCAATCTCTCCTCGAACCTCACAGGCCTCTATACCCAGTGGTCCTCGCAAGACCCGAACTTCAAGAAAAAGGCACCCCAGTTCACAGGGATCAGGATTCTGCGCCAAGATGCTTGGGAAGCGCTTGTATCCTTCATCTGCAGCAGTAATAACAACATCGCGCGCATATCGCAAATGGTCGAGAAGTTATGCGTCAACTATGGTCCCCTGGTGGCCACCGTCGGCGACCGCACATACCATGACTTCCCTGCTCCTGAGGCTTTGACCGCTGACGACGTTGAGAGTCGCCTGCGAAGCTTAGGATTTGGTTACCGGGCCAAATATATCCACCAGACAGCTTTGATTGTAGTGAAAGAGAGAGAGCAAGGCTGGCTTGACTCGCTACGAAATCCCGAGTCTCCTGTTCTCGGAGTCGAGCCTGTGTCCGGCGGTGAAATGAGACCGGAGGGTAGAGAGGGGTACCGTTACGCGCATGAACAGCTGCTCGGGCTACAGGGCGTTGGGCCCAAGGTTGCGGATTGTGTCTGTCTGATGGGGTTGGGATGGGGAGAGGCGGTACCGGTAGATACCCACGGTGAGTGACTCTTGACAGATATTCTACCAGTTACTCATGCTGACAAATTTTAGTGTGGCAGATTGCGCAAAGAGACTACAAATTCGGCAGAGGCGCTCACAAGTCGCTAACGAAAGCAACCTACGACGCCGTCGGCAACCACTTTCGGAAACTCTGGGGCAAGGAGGCCGGATGGGCTCATAGTGTTCTATTTACGGCAGACTTGAGGACATTCTCAGACAGATTAGCTGCTACGCCTGGCAAGATAGATGTCAAGGTTGCTGTGAAGGAAGAGGACGAGGATAATGAGTCTGTCAGGATCAAGACAGAAGTCACGACCTCGACGGCTTATGCCTTGAAAAGACCTGCGAGCGAGGACGAGTTAGAATCAAAGGATATGAAAGAGGAGAGTAAAGAAAATGTGAAGGCCGTCATTCAAGCCTCACGGACCACAACGACGAGGAGGATGTCAAAGCGGCTTCGGAACCGCTGACATAGATTCATCAGGCATTATAGACAAAATACCCCGGGTATAAACGTATACCAGACATTCATAAATGTATACTTACTGTTCAATCTCGGCCCCATCGTCGAACACATCAGACCATTCCAATGTTGGATGTATATTCTCGGACGCGAAATGCGCAGCCCTTTTCAACTCTCAGCGCACCTATCTTCTACAGGGCTTAAAAATCGTATCCTGCAAGAGCCACAAAGACAACCCTGAATACGCCGAAGATGCTCACCCTAGTCATAGACGATCAAGTAATTCAATAGTTACTCATCCGCAACACTTGCCACTCGCCATGAAGTACACTACCAACGCCCGGAACATCAAAACAGGAAACCCGAGAGCCGAGACAAATCACCATCGACAATCTCGATCCACAAGATTAACAAGGCATCTGGGTACAGCACTGTGCACGAGTCCCAAATGCTGAAGGATGGCTATCCTCGATAAGCATTGAACCAGTGTGGAGAATTGACATAACACTACCGTAGCAGCGCTACAACTGATATCGGCAAACCTGCTCTTGAAATAGTCCGTAGAACCACCCCGGTCCATCGGTGACGATCGCGATGCCCTAACCCCCATCGGCATCTACTTATCTAGGGAATGAGTCGATAGGATTTTCGGGCCTTCGTGGGTCGGATCTGTTGATCTTCACGGAGTAGTCTACTATCTACTACGTACTGCGAACGCCAGGACGGTCAGTATGACGTTGACTGGTTTGGTTCCGTCTTCTCCTGTATGAGTATGACATATATGAGAATGTGGAAGTGAAACCATCAGTCCACCTTATACTAATTACTCTAGCTTATTCGAGCAGTGCGCATCGTTAGTATGCAGTAGTTCTGCAGCATCATGTTCGATTGACGCCGGAAGACTTTCAGTAAACAAGAAATGCAAACTTGATGTGGGGAGAACCACACCAAGCGACAGGCAACTGAGCCGAGTTGATAAGGACTAAAACACACTCAAATCCCAGTTCATGCTTTGAAGTCATCCCTGAAATTGTTGTGCGGTGCTCGAATGCCAAAAAAAGAGTCTTCCAGATCATAATTTCATTATTAAATCAAAAACGTATACCGCTATCATATGCGCCAACGCTAATGCTTACAGATCGCTAATGAGCCTGTCCAGGCGTCTAGCAGAAGAAAAGGAAAATATATAACAGAAACATGGCCCTACTGAAAATCCGCTGCGAGCTGGCCATTGAAGCTACAACTCCGGGAGGTGAAGAGTCGCGGAAATTCGCACTGATATCACCAGAGTCGTGATAACTTCCAGTCGATCACATTTGTCGAGGTGCAGAATGTTGTGATTTTCAATCGAGATGAACGAGTACGGCAAAAGGTGGTTGAGGTCAAGCATAATGGACTGGAAATTGCTCGTGGGGATGCTGCTTCGGTGCCTTTTTGATCAAAGCTGAAGTCCTTTTTGCGGGCAGTGGGAGAGCCGGGATGACAAGCGTAGCACTTTGGAGTGCTAACCCAGGACGCTTCCGAAGCCGAACTGAAATCTTCGGGCCGACGGGAGAGGGCTCGTGAGTGGTACATCGGAATGGACTGGGATACGACCGATTAAGTGCCCCCGGTCGAGTCGGAAGCTTCATCCCATCCCCACTCCCTGAGCAACTGCTTCACGCGATACTCGGTTGCCCAACCGAGATCAGCTTCTATTCCCCGCAGCAAGCGCAAAACTACCCGTCGTTCACGAGGCTCAGTAAGACACTGACCACTCACAAACAAAGGCTGGAGAGAGTTAATACGAACGGAGCCATGAGGACGAGCCAACGAGATGCCGACAATCTCGCGGCTATGGAAGCGAATCTCATTCTCAATGGATCGGTACGAGTTGAGTCGGTTTGTCATGGCACTTCGTCTATTGATTGAATCATGAGGCTTGTTGATAAGTAGAAGAATGCGAGCCATGTGATAATGCTGTATAGCCGACGAGCACATCGGGATGCTGAACCATATTTCGGACAACGAGGCTGCATCCTCATCCTCGGCCGTCCTTGGGTGTGGAATGCTGGACAAGTCGACTCGCGCGCACGGTCGAAAGCAAGTTGGAAGCCTCTTGTACCAAGTGTCAAGCTCAGCTTCAAGGCGATGCCAACGCTCAAGAAGAGCTTGTTGAGAAAGGCCCATTTGGCCTGCGGTAACGGCACCAGTGTGCGTCAAATGAGGGCTGTCTCCGGCGCTAGTGAAATTGACAATTTTGGAAGCTATCCACACGAGCGCATTAGAAACGAGATCCTCCTTCATTTCGTCGTCCTCTTCGGGATAGCCGGCTGCGTTCATATTAGTGGTACGCACGAACCCCGTGCTATCGAGCTGAAGACCAGCTTCAGTCCACAATACCAAGTCGTCGGTATTCAACCTGGTTTGCGTCTCGTTGATAACTGGATGAGATGCTCATTAATCTCCTGAACTTGGGGATGGGACTGGCACACCCGAGCGCACTTACATGCAGCCAGGTAGTCTTGCCTGGCAAAGTTCCAGAATGTTGCCCTCCTAGCTCTCGAAAGCCCGAACTTCCTAGGCGGCTGAAGCGATCCCTCCCCTGGAGAAGGATGTTGCTCAAGTGGCAACATGCCAACTTCAGCGACGTCCAGCAAGGATTTCACACCACTCAGGTGCCGATTCCACGCGGTACCAGTCGCATCAAGGAATTCATAGATGGATAATATCGCCGTTGCGGCGAGAACTTCGTCCGAATGGACACCGCTAGATGGTCGATTATGTCTTCTACGTTTGCGAGAATTGTCGTGGTTCTGGCACAGTTCGGCAGCCTGCCACTGACCGAACGCCTCTGGAGTGCTCAAAGGTGGCGGACCTTCGTCAGGTTGCAGCTCATTCACCAGGAGCTGGATGGCTTTTTCATAGTACTTGGCGCCACACCAAGTCCAATCGATACCTCTCCCATCAGGCCAGGTCTCCGTGAAAGCCTGCTTTCCGCTGACGCCACCAAAAGGAGCTTTTGCGCCCTTCACGCGACCAAGCTGTTTCGCAGCGTATGCACACGCCGCATACTTCAGAAGAGGATTCGTGAGAGCCTTGACCGGAACGAGTGATGCGAAGTAAGTTCCTAAATCGAAGAGATCCATCCTAAATAGTCCCGGTCAGAAGGTCTTCCTATCCTACAGAGGGTGGAGATAAAGACACACCACAGACCCGGAGCTTCTGAAAAGTGTCTCAGAAGAAAGACAACCTCATACTCGGTCTCCACTGGCAGCTCGGACCTCTGTTCGGCATTCCCAGCATTTCGTGACAACACTGATCTGGAGGGAATTGAAGAGTCCCTCGGCTCCGAGGTATGCTGGTTATTAGGATCAATGGGTGGTGACAGAGCCTGGGAAGGATTCAAGATGAATTTGATGTCATTGTTCGTGTTGTTGCTGTTGGGATTGGAGAAAGAAGAGATTGATATCGGAGGCGATGGTTGAGGGGCCAATGTAGAATGCGGTCTATTGGTTGAAGATCCAGACGATATTAAAGGGGCTGTAAGATCTAAAACATTGGAATGCGCATTGAGATCCGGCACCAGAGAGCGAGATCCGTTGTCGGTAGCGAGGGGAGAAAAAGGGTACCGATTAGTAGATGCCGCTGTGGACAAATGTTCCAAGCCTCGAATCTCGCCGTCGGTTGAGGAAGGTGTCTGCACCCCTTTTTGGTGAGCCCTGGAGGCTAGAACAGCGGCTTCAGATTCCCCCAGAACGGCCTCCAGCTCCTCCGCATACTGATCGGAATTGTCGACAAACACCACTAGGAGCAACATCCTTATATCAGCTCATCGAATCAAGAGACACAAGACGCTCGAGCAGAAGAAGAGCGCAACGGAAATCGTTCATCCGTACCGTCCTTAGGTATATCCAGCCAGACACTGTCTTCATCGAAAGTATTCTTGTAGGAGTAAAAACCTTTCAGACTACCTCGGCCATTCGACGAGTCACCGATATCCTTATTCATCGAAGCATTTTGCTGATGCCGAAAAATAACACCCTCGCTAGGGCGACATTCCCTGGATCCTTTGCGACATTGGGAGCACTGCGGCTTTTGCTCATCACCTAATTCGCCGGTTTTAGTCACTATCCGACACGTTGAGAGGTACTGCGACGAGAGCGAAGGGTGGAAGGTTTTACATTTCAGTTTTCGAGTTCGACACGTCAAACTGCGATCAACAACAAACGTCAGTTTCTCAGTCTCCTTTTTTTGATCTTTGCAAAGCACAGTGAATCTGTAGTCCAAGATGGTCCGATACATGCCAAATATTCGAGAAGTACGAAGTCATGTAGGAGTGCAAGTTATAAATGAGCAAGCGCTATTTCCTCCTTCCCATCTTACATACCAGCCTGTGCGGGATCGCATACCGGATGGTAACGATAGCGATTGAGTTGCAGCATCCGAGAAACGAAGCGAGTACGCGATGTAAAGTGTGGACGATGTTGGTGTAAGCTAGGCCGTGAAGAAGAATGTAATCGGGAAAATTAACTGCCAGAACCGGGATGGCGTTGCGTTTATCGAATAGCAACAATGATTATGATTAATGGATAATACTTATATTAGAATAAGACCGTCTCCTTAAGGACAGCCGAGTTATTATGATGACAGCGAACGAGATGGACTTGTTAGATCGCAGAAAAAGAAAGAAAATGGGAAGGAGAGAAAGCGGGGGTCCAAATTGTGGCCGGGGATCGCACAGGACCACCGAGTCCCCCAAACTGACCCCAATAACCCCATGACAGCCTAAGAGACAAAAGAGGCCAAGTGCCGACCGACCGGAGAGTGAGACTGTCCGGAGTACGTATCACCTGAGATCGGAGCACCTAAGTATCACTGCGCGGGATCATTTTTCCGCCTGAGGCTCCTATTCCATTTGCGGGGATTGGCTTGCCATGATATTTTCTACCTAGGTAGTTAATCTCCTCTCTCCCAATCACACCCTAGATCAAACAAAATCATAATTACAGCGAAATCTTGTCCATG